ATAAGGGTCTGAAAAATACCCCAACTTTGGTCGGATTTGCTGTTGCGATACTAAACTTTCATGAGGACCTATTACCTCCCTAGACTATTTAATACCGTATTTTAAACATATATATTTGTCCACGTGGACATAAAAAACAATACAAAATTATAAATAATAATGTGTCCACGTGGGCACATATATACCTTTAAAATATACACTATTAAATAGTTCAGGGGGTAAAAAATACGGTATTAAATAGTCTAGGGAGGTAATAGGTCCTCTTGAAAGTTTAGTATCGCAACAAAAAATTCGACCAAAGTTCGGATATTTTTCAGACACTTATCCCTTTTATTAACTAGAACAATAAAAGAAATTAGTGTAACTGTCTAAATTAAAAGTAAAAAATGGTTACTTATCGAGGAATTATAATCAAGACAAATTTAGGATTTAAAGTTTAATTTTTTACGACATTATAAAATTATTATAATAATTTTTTATGTATTTATTTTTTTAATTTAAAGGGGGCTCAACGGCCCATTTTTTACAACATTATAAAATTATATATATATATATATGTGTGTGTGTGTTTGTTTTTTAATAATGATTTTCTCTAATACTGCCTCCATTCCATATTAACTTGATTTTTGAGACTTTTTTCATTATTCTAAATCATTGAATTGTTCAAAGTTTAGGATGAATGTGTGAAACTTTTTTCATATTTGCCCTTTCATTTATTGAAGTATTATATATTTTAGGAAATAAATTACATTACTTGCAAAGTTATATTTATGATTTCACAAAAGGCAATTGTGAAAAGTATGACTTAAATTGTGTATTTGAATATTTTTCTTAATATATGCATTGACTCACAAATTTAGTTAATATGGAATAAAAGAAGTATATAAGATATGGATCTTTTTAAATTAAAATTATTGTGGAATTCATATTTACATGACATAAATATTTTGATATGACAAATTTAATTGAGTTTTTTTCTAAGAATTTCTTTTAAAGTCAAATAATTTGATTGATACAAAATAAATTAAATGACTTTGCTACATAATTTCTCATATTAAGTGATCTATTGAGATATTTAGGTAAATTTTTGCTAATTTCAATTATACAAGTTTCTTTCAAAAAGTGTTGAATTCTATTGGCTGATTTTTATTATTGATTAAATATTTTTGTATTATTATCTTCATTAAAAAAAGGTCTAATCTAACTGTAACCTCTTAAAGTTGGCACAAAGTTTTACTTAGATAGCTTAACTGAGCAATGTTTTTAGGATCCCGCTGTGTCATTGACACTTTTTGCACAGTCTCCTATTTACCACAAGCGCGTGTGACACAATCATGTCCACATGAATTAATTGACCAATTATATTATGCTAATTCTCAAAGCCTTTACGTTTCATATTTGCTTCAAATTAAAAGATTTTTTTGTTAACTTAAAAGTTTGGAAGTTTGTCAGACAGCCATTAGACCATCCCAAGCTCCATGATCGTAGTTGAGAACGATCATCTACGGCACCATAACCCGAAGAAGGCCATGGTTGGCTGTTAATCACGCTCTAGTCTAATGGTCATGATTCATCCACTAGACTTGTTTCCTGTCTCCTTAGAAATCAAGGATACAGCGGTACGAGACTATAGAACAAATCCTGTTCAAGTAAGGTCGTAAAAGATGAATTGATCTTTAAACTTCTATTTTTGATTTTCTCACTTCTTCGACTTCACCCGATCAAAAACCTAGGTAGGTTTCTCTCTTCTCTCAACTTCAAATTCACATTGATTACTTTGTTTTTCACTCAATTCACAATTATTACTAACTATTATCATAATTTATGTCGCCATTTTTCAGGGTTTAAGATTGAAAATCAAGTATTGACGTTCAATTTCTCTAATGTTGTAAAGCCCGACAAAAACGTATCATCAATTCATTAAGCGTCTCTTTTTTGTAATTGAAAAGTTTATTATTCAAGAATTATTTTGAACAAAATAACAAACATCCTTAATTAATTTGACACTTTACACCCACAACATATTTTTGCTTAAAATGAACAAGCCTAGTTGACGTGTCTAAGTGAAAGCTTATACCAACTTTAGGGGCCATCGACTAATTCAGAAAAAAAAAAGAAGAGATTTGACTTCGTTTTTATTGAGAGAAAGAGAAGAATTGGTAAAGAAAAGAAGGAATGAAGAAGAAAATTCAATCCGATTGAATACAATTTTGACGTCCGTAAACACATTTTCTCTCTCATCAACTTTCTCTCTCTAAAAAAAAAATACAGCTAAAGAAGCTGAATCTATCTACTGGGGGCACAGTGAAGTTCAAAAAGGTGACGCTAAAATTTGTGTGTTTTTTGTGCTTGTAGTTCCGTGTAAGGAATATACTCAATCTTCGGTGAGTCGGTGTTGAAATTGTCTTTTTGTTTTCTAAAGCTAGCTGCAGGTTGCTCATTTTGAGCTTTGGATCCACTATTTTAATAATTTATTGCGAGATTTAGGGCTTGATCAATTGTTCATATGATTGTATAAGTTTTCTGCTTTGTTTTTTATTTTTTGTTTAGTGTTCAATCAATTACTGCAGCTTCTTTTATTTTCTGAGTTCGAAAATTTGGGTGTTTTTGGGTAATAGTCTCTTGACGGTTGTTTTTCTGAATTTGTTTTTCTAAAAGGGATAGGAATGAAGTTTGATTTCTGTCTTTAAAACTGTTGAGATTTGGGGTTTTGTGTGCACAGCATTCTGGTTAGATGATTTAAAGCAAACAGCATTCTTATTAGATGATTTAAAGTAAGGTTGGGTAGGTTAATCTATCTTCATCGGAAGGGAGGGAAAAATTGACACAAAATTGAATAACTATTGCAGTGGATGATGCAGCAAAAGACAGTTGTTTGAGCGGAAAGAAGTCTGGTTTAGTTGTTTCAGAGACAAACTTCCATCTTTTGGATAAAAAATGGAAACTTTCTGTCTACCTTAGATCCATCTAGTAATCACTCGCTATTATTGGGTTTGCTTGGTTCTCTGCCTATTTCTTCTTCAGCGCAATTGAAGTTTCTTCAGCTTAGTGGGGGCTTTGATGCCATTTTATGAGTTTTCTCTACTCACTTGAGGCTTTTATGCCATTTTAGGAAGTTTCTATATTTGCTCAAGTGTTAGTAGATTGTGTACTTCTTGGTGAAAAATGGTTCCAACAGGGCCTCCTAATCCACTTGGTGGTTCCCAGTCAGTACCTTCTTCATTACTGCGAACAAATTCCGGTGTAATGGGTGGTCAAGGGGGGTCAATGCCTTCACCAGGTGGTTTCCCTTCTATGGTTTCTCCTCGAACGATGTTTGGTAACATGAATATGCTAGGGAATGCTCCCAATGTTTCACATCAGTCCTTTGCAAATGGAGGTCCTAATGCAGGGCTGGCTGGACCAGGAAGTTCTCAGCGTGGTCCTGTTGATAATGGGGCCGAGACTGATCCACTTTCTGGTGTAGGAAATGGGATGGGTTTTAGTGCTCCTTCAA